GATAGAGAGAGAGAGAGAGAGAGAGAGAGAGAGAGAGATGATTGGTATGGTGATAGACTTCTGTATTTTTCAGTAGAATGATGTGCATAGGTAAGACTTTTCTTGACTTGAATAAAGCCTAGTCAAACCATATTGGGAAGTTTCTGCTATTATCGAATGTGTGTAGTTGGAGAATTGATATCTATTGCATCATTACGATAATCATCTTATTGTCCATAATATGACATTTTTTTTTACAACCAGTGGATCACTTATCAGAAATGGCATACAGTCTCCTGCTTGCATAGGGGACTGTTCAAGCAGATGACCTCTAGATGATGATCTGGACTAGATGATCTCCAAGATCCCTTCCAACTCTGTTATTCTGTTACTTTGTAAGGTCTTTGTAATAGCCTTATGGATTTGCTATTTTGCTAATCTTTAATTGTTCATTAAGCAGCAATCCATATATATATATATATATATATATATATATATATATATATATATATATATATATGTAGATCTTTGGTTGTTCAGGTTTTCTCCCGCGTAAAATTGGAAGTGTCTTGGCGACGTTTCGACGAAGTCCCATTCGTCATCTTCAGGCTGGTGCTTTCAGCTTCGTGCTTCGAGGAGCACGAACTGAAAGCACCAGCCTGAAGATGACAAATGGGACTTCATTGAAACGTCGCCAAGACACTTCCAATTTTACGCGGGAGAAAACCCGAACAACCAAAGACCTACATACAAACACCCGCGAAAACCTCAGAAAACATATATATACAATGTTCATCTATTATTGTTAATAAGTATTTTATTCGTGTGTTCTATGAAAATAAATATATTTGTTATATATTGAAAGGTCCAAGAATAAACCTCTATGGAAGCTTAAACCATGATAACTGTATGATGCTAAAGCCAATCTAGCCAGCCTATTAAAATATAATTAAAAATACAGACCAAAAAACTATTAAATAATCATGGAATCTTACACACAAACACTTTTACAGACATATACAGATACACACACACAAATAAATTAAGATGGTCAATCTTCCAATAGTATGTTTTTCAAAAAAGATTCATTCAGATCTGTTCTTTATGAGTTTTTAACATTTCTCTACTCTCTCTGCTTTAATGCATTATATTTTGATTAATCAGAGATTAGATTTGAAACACTTTTTCAAAATCAATATTTTTTAGAAGCAGCAGAACTGTACACTTGCAGTTAATAATGCTCTTGCTAGCCTGATTCATTAAAACAAACATCCAAGTAATATTCATAGAGGATTAGGAGTTTACATAAAAATATTCACACATTAATGTTTACCTCAGAGAATTTAAATTTCTAACCAATTCTACCACACATAATCAAAAATCAGTTTAGATTGTGCTATTCAATTCCCTCATTTGGTGGATCATATACTTGGACACACACACCTTAAATAATAGGTGGTTAGGTACCACTGACAGATAACCTTGTAAGAGTTTTCCAGTACTATATAAACACATTTGATGAGAAAGCAGGCAAGGCTATTGTACAAATTATATGTCATGTACTGACAAGAACTAATGCCTGTAAATGCCTGTTCTCTAAAATCTGTAGATATTACTTTTACTATTTAATTCTATACAAGATATAGTTATTCTGTTATAAGGGAGTTGTGAATTAGGAACTTCCAAGTCCTTTCTTAGATATATTGATTGGTTTTATTGATTGATTTTTGCTTATTTAAAAGTATACCTGCAATGCAATCTAGTGTAAATGTATTACTACTATTAGGAGCAGGAGGAGTGTGGTAGTCTTAACGGAACTAATCATGTTTGTGGTTACCACATTTAATGAGGCTGTAATTTGCTCAATCTCCTTAAAGATTTAAAAAAAGAAACATGCTTTTTAAAAATAACATGGAACGGGAGAGTGGTGTTTGTCACCAATGACATCACTAGCACTCATCCAAAAGTGCCTCTGGTATGTGGGAAGTGCATTCCACACCTTCCCTACTGCTGTCTGGGAGCATATGATGTTCAAAATGTCGTCTTAATCAATTGAATAAGTTTTGTGAATTCTTGATGCAGAAAAAAAAGTCATCTAAAAAAGGTCCTAGAACAGTCTTATCCAATCTAGTGCTAACCAGTTATGCAGAATGTAGAGTTCTGATTTTTTTTTAAATTAATATATCTAACAAAAGCTGAGAATCAGTCATAATACATTCAGCGAGAAATGTCTTGGAGAAGCCTGCCCTGCAATATATTCTGAGGCAGCAAACGACAGAGAAAGAAATGATTTTGCTCTAGTCTTATCTTAACTAGAAATGTGAGTTGTCTTCTTTGAGATTATATTAAGGACACTGATTCATAAGAAGGACAAATAGATAAGCTAAATGGTTTTCACTTTAATTTCAATGCCTCACTTCTGTTCTCTCTCCTCCCCTCCAGACTGCAATTGTCCACCCAACTGAAGAGTAACTTATGAAAGAATTGTCATAGAAGCCCCTAATAGTGGATTGCAAACAATTTGCTTGATTTAATTATTTCATGACTTCATGGTAGGCAACAATCTTTTTTTCTGGAAAATACAATAATACTTCTCATCCTTGAATGAGATTTGAGAAATTAATGCAAATGGCTTCCAACTGTGAAGTAAATGAAATGCAGAAAAGAACAGTAATTTTAACTGGTACCAGCTTCTATGATCTTGTTTGGATGACAAATCCCAAAATTCTTCGCTAGAATTTCCAGAGAGAATTAAGCTGGAAAAGTTAGTTCTAGTACAATGAAAGGATGTGAAAAAGACTTAATCTCATCTGTCTACATTTGTTGGCTTTCACTCTTCCATACACAAAGCTGGCTCAAAATGTGCTAACTCAACTGAAGAATGGTACTTCTTGAAAGTCCCACATAGTCCTCACGTTGAAAAAAAAAACTCTTCTAAATCCAATTCAGCCTGCTCATAGAGATATATAAAGCTTTACATGGCTTACTACAAAGATATACTACCAACGTTCCATTCAGTAAGCTGGAATAACTTTTAATTTTCTTCCCTGAAAATTAAATAGCAGTGCTTGAGTCCATATGTACGTCCTCCAGCTTTGTACTATCCAGTATATTGACTTTAGGTCCCATAAACTCCTCCCAGAATGGCATATGGGAATTACATGCATCACACAATGGGTACCAAGTTGTGAAAAGCTGATAAAGATGTTTTGGTATTTTTCTTGTTGTGTGAAAAATTAAATTGGCATTACAAATATAAGGAATTGTGCTGTTGTTGTTTTCATATATTCGCCTCCTCTGGCAATCTGCAGTAGATTATCCAAGATGTAGTACAAGGTCATGCAAAGTATACACAGCCAGGCTCTATCTCTGAAATTGAGAAGAAAAGCATTCCACGCATCTTGAAGCCTACAATCTCTACTTGGAGAGTGTGATATTGGGTGGTAGTATTGCAAAGTATGGTAGTGTAGGGTAGCACTCCAGTTTATATTCCAGAGGAAGGGAGAAAGAGAGGAGACGGATTATGGAGATGTGGATGGAAGACCAGACTGAGGGAGACTCAGGAGTCCTAGCCTAGGAAAAACTCCATCTATGATACAAGGTTATGAATAGGTAATCCTTAGGTTATGACTACTAATTCAGTAACAATCCAAAATTATAATGGCATTGAATGAAAGGACTTAGGACCAGTCTGCAAAGTTGTGGCAATCACAGCACCCCTGCTTAGCACATGGCTTGCCATTAAATGTTGCAGCAGCCAGGGTCATGTGATTATGATTGTTGAGATCCCCCTATTTCATATAAGCAAAGTCAATGGGGAAGCCGGCAGGAAGTCAGAAATTGTTCCCACTCTCATTGTTTTTGTTTTTGCTTGCCTGCCCTATGTAACACCTGCCCATGGCATTCCTGCCTTCTTCAGCACCTGCACACCCATTTACACACTATATAGAACCTGGCCACAGCGTTCTTATACCCCCTATACACCTACCTACAGTATCTTCTGCAGTGCCTACCAGCAGTACTCCCCATGGTATCTGTGTATTCACCTGCCTTCTTGATTAGGACTTCCACGCCATCCAAGGGTTTTTGCTTAATGACCTATGCAGTCCTGGGTTTAGAACAGCAATTAGGATTGCAGGATTGCTGTTGCTAAGAGTCATGTGACCTCATATTTTATGATTGCATTGCTTGTGCATGGAAATTCCAGCCCCAAGTTCTCTTGTAATACAAGGACTACAAGAATTAGTACTAGGGAAAACAACAGTTTACATCTATAGGCATGTTACTATTAATTTAACCTGTTTTAAACACATTTAATTTATTAAAAGTTAATTTGCTTCTTGGTTTTAATGTTAAGAGTGTCTGTGCCATTATGTCACCTCCGAGATATAAAGAAATTAAAAGAGAATAGTAAGGTAATTTATAAATCAGAAAAGAGTTGGGTGGTGGCAGCAAGTCAAATAAATCCTTTAAAAGTCTCCTAGAGTTAATGGGATTTCTCTGAATTTTGGAGAATTAAGAAAAGGATACCCACATGTGTGACAGGGAACACAGTTTATTTATTTCTTCTCCATTCATAATATTTATGACCTAGAGCAGGGGTGTCAAACTCGCAACGTCACGTGACATGTCGTGACATATCACAATTTTTTTTCATTGCCGGCAATGGAGTGGGCGCAGTTTCACCATGTCACATCCAATCCGCGGGCCAGCAGTTTGACACCCCTGACTTAGAGCAAATTAATTCCAAACAGATTATACAGTGGCAACTCTATAGAGATAAAAAGTCTTGAGATAAAAGAGTAGCCAAATCTGTTAAGAATACAAAAATAATAATAATAATTAATAATAATAATAAAGTTGGAAGGGACCTTGGAGGTCATCGAGTCCAACCCCCCTGGTCAGGCAGGAAACCCTACACCATTTCAGACAAATGGCTGTCCAGTCTTTTCTTAAAAACTTCCAGTTTGGAGCATTCACCACTTCTGGAGGCAGGTTGTTCCATTGGTTAATTGTTCTAACTGTCAGGAAGTTTCTCCTTAGTTCTAGGTTGCTTCTCTCCTTGATTACTTTCCATCTGTTGCTTCTTGTCCTGCCTTCAGGCGCTTTGGAGAATAGCTTGACTCCCTCTTCTTTGGATGTTTTAATGCACATGTACACTTACCTGGGCTCAATCCTAGGCAAACGTCTTTATTGTACACATTTAGAGGAGGATTAATTTGCAAAATTCCAAAACCATTCAAAAAGCTATACCTTGATTAAAGTGCAAAGCAGTGCAAACATTACCCAAAAGGAAGAAGGGATGGAGAAGAAAAATGCAAATAAGAAAATTCAGGCACAAGTTATAGTTGCTTAAAATAGTTGTCTTGAATTGAAACAGCTGAGGGGGGTGGGAGGGAGTACCAAATGTTCAGTGGGAAATGTTTGGGTGTATGTGTATATACATGTGACATAATGGCACAGACACTCTTAACATTAAAACCAAGAAGCAAATTAACTTTTAATAAATAACAAATGTGTTTAAAGCAGGTTAAATTAATAGTAACATGCCTATTTGTGCAGCAATTATTTTTATGATCAAGATGAAAATTATAACTAGAAGACTATCAGTAAAAATAACACAATTCCTGTGCTTTAAGTTTTTCATTATCATAGGAAACAAATGACTTATCCTGATGCCTCAATCTATGAAAGAGTTCATTTCTTATTGCTGGATGAGACCAGAAATCCATTTAGTACAATATTTTTGTTAGTGCTCGATCTGATGCTGGTTCTCTACACAGGTTATCCCATCTGGAATGATAGCACTACATTTATTTCATACAAGTGTGAGCTAAAGAAGAGTGGCTACACTTTAATAAAAAGGAGCTGTCATACAGGATAATCCTAATAGATTTAAGCAAATGTGCTCAGGGATGAATTCCTCTGTGGCTAAGAGTAAATAATGCTTTACCTATATATAGCTGACTAGGCTGAAGAGGAAGGGCTAGATGCAGGAGCATAGCACAGACTCATTGGCCATCCAGCCGAAAGCACTAATTAGCGTCCAGCACATCACCAGTGCAAAGTATTATTAAATATCACACACCCCCCCTCCAATTTGGATTGGCAATTGATCAAACTGTAATGGTTTTGATCCTGTGACAAGACAGTACCCCATTTGGAAAAAGTAAATAGAGGTAAGAGAGAGCAACTGAGAACAACTGAGAAATGAAATTGGGGGGGGGGGTTTACGTGCGACAGCAAATAGGGAAGGGGAGGCAGGAGATATGAGACATCAATTCATGCTCCAAAGCTGTCTGAAGTCAGGGAACCTGGGAAAATAAAGGGGCACAATCCCTTTCCAAGACCTCCCAGGAAAAAGCTATTTGAAGTCCAAGAAAAGTTCTGTTGAGCCATCTCAGTTATTAACTACAATAGAAAAACAAAACAAAATAGATGACCTGAAGTAAGAACTGAGCTTTTGTCCATAAGCTGATTAATATAATATCTCAGCCACTACGTGGGACTTACGATTTACCTGGTGTAGGGAAGGAAGTTGTCAGTCATCTGGGGAATTCTACTGGTGATGTCTAGGAAAGAGTCACCTTGCCACTGCAGTGCTGAGCCAGGAATTATAGCCAAGAAGGCTAGAATGGCAGATTTTGTAGGCATTAAGTTTCATATTCTGTTCCTACTCTTTCCAGAAATGAACAGGGAAGGATCTGACCAAATCGGTGGAAAGTTATTGCCGCTCAATTTTAAATATTAAAGTAGGGCATAATGGATGCTTCTGAGAGAGTCAGTTTCTGGCTTTCTGAAAGTTGCAGGAGGCCATGTAGTGATGTAATGAATTTGCAGGAGGTGTAGAGCTAAAATTTCTGGACTTTGGGTAGAGAGATTATTTATGGATGTGGTTCCAAGTGGGAATGGAGTGGGTAGCCTCTGGGACACAATTTGCTACCATTCCTACCTTTAAATTCCCCCAAGACTGAAAAACATTCTGAGATTGTGCCATCATTTTCCAGCAGCACCAACCTGGAGTGGTAGCAGGAAGACGTGAAATGTATGATTGTCCATGATATGGACATGATACAACCTGGATATATCTTTCTATTCTGGAAAGGTCACTGGTACAAGTCACTGGTAAAAGACAAGTTTTCTAAGTCATTCTAAAATTAAAGTGAAATAATTACTTTATATTCATCCTACTCTAGAAAAAAGCCAGGTAAATGAGAGAACTTGGAATGGATAGGAATAGATGCAAGTGGACCAGGGTGGCCTCCACCTAGTCTCAGCTATTTGTAAGGATTTCCTAAAAACAGAATTTCCTAAACAATCGGCATCTCCAAGGGGGATGAGGAGGAATAAATGACCAAACGTGTGCCAAGATATTGAAATATATCATGTCCAACACCAGGATGCAAATACAAAAAGCCAGGATTGCACCGTGGCGTGATTATGTACAATTTCCTAATTTTTATCAGATGGCATTGTCTTCTACCTCTGAGTACCTGAAAATAAGAACTGCAGAGGTTCTGACAAGGAGATGTAGAGGATGGAAGAGTAGCATCATCAACACAACATGATACCTTGTTAGAGGCAAACGCATCCATAATTATATGAACCAAGAGTAGTGCAAGGAATTAGTCCATTTTGCCAGCTGCTAAGTTACCAGAACTTTCAGAGGAGCAACAACTGCTGGGAATTCTGAGCAACAGTCTGGGAGTCAAATTGGCAGCCAGAGTTTCTGTCAAGAAATGCCAGTTATGTCAACAATGAACAAAACCTCAGCTTCAAGACCAAAATGTGCAAGGTAGAACTGTGGGAAGGGTAGCAGGGAAAACAGTGGAATTAAACTACAGTGAGTTAAGAATAGACTGCATTTTCAGGCTGACAAAAGCCAATCAATTATTTAAGTACCTTCAACCAAGAATGCAATAAAATTTCCTATTTATTTGTGCTATCAATGTTTTTCAATCTTGGCAACTTTAAGATGTATGGGCTTCAATTCCCAGAATTCTCCTGGTGGAATGCCAACTGAAGCATTCTGGGAGTTGAAGTCCATACATCTGAAAGTTGCCAAGCTTGAAAAACACTGTGCTATATCATACTGTATGTCCAAGAATCTTCAAACAAGATCAGGTCTGTGAGTTTTGTTCAAGCCTACCAAGCTAGTGTCTGAGAACTGCTGCTGAGAGTTTATCAGTGAACCTGTGATATTTGATGATGATGTTATCCATTCAGTTGAGTCTGACTCTGGCAATTCTGTCGGCGAGGTCTCTCCATTTCTTCCAATCTTGCACTATTCTTTGAGTTTTTCTATGTTCTGGCTGGTGGTTCCAACTACTGTGTTCTTTGATGGCCTGGTTTCCTTTTACCCCTAATTCTTCCAAGTGTAATTGCTTTTCCCAGTGAATTTCCTTGCATCACATGGCCAAAGTGAGGCACATCTTTGCGATTTTGCCTTCGCTTGATACGTCTAGTGTCATGCGCTCCAATACTTGCTTTGCTTTTCCCTTTGCTGTCCAAGGAATACGCAAGAGCCTTCCCAGCTCCATAACTCAAACAAGTCAATTTTTCTTCCTGTCTTGCTTTTTTTAAGGTGCAAATTTCACGACCATAGGTAGCTATGGAGGACACAATGAATTAACCTACATTTGGTTGCCAGGCCGATGTCCTTGCTTTTCCATATTTGACTCCTGTTCATTATTGCTGTGCTGCTTTATATCTCCCCTAAAAGACCGCAACAGAAACAACCACTGTTTCTAGTCCTTTAACTGTTTTTTTTTTTCTCTTCTTGTGAAGATCTTCCTAATCACTCTTTCTTCTTTGGACAAAAAGATTGTCAAGACTGGTGCCTTTAGGGTTGCCCAAGACAATGAATGGACAAAGATAATTTCTGCTACTGTGATCACCCAGCAAGTGTGTAACTTCTGTTTACTTGCACATGTGTTCTGGTGAAGCAGGGCTCAGTGAGGTGAGTATTAGGACCAGAAAGACCATTAGAAAACAAAGCTCCTTCCTTCCTTCCTTCCTTCCTTCCTTCCTTCCTTCCTTCCTTCCTTCCTTCCTTCCTTCCTTCCTTCCTTCCTTTCTTTTTCTTCCTTCCTTCCTTCCTTCCTTCCTTCCTTCCTTCCTTCCTTCCTTCCTTCCTTCCTTCCTTCCTTCCTTCCTTCCTTCCTTCCTTCCTTCCTTCCTTCCCTTAATTTATTTGAGCCTGATTTGTGCTGGGTTTTAGCTCAATGAAACTCAGTCCTGCCAAATGGCACCGTCAGCATCCTCATTTCCTGTGAGCTTCCAGGGGGCTCCCGTCGTTTCCAGTGTAAAACTGCTCGACTATACAAGACGCCCAAACACTCGGCGCACAGGAGGTGTCAATCGGCGACGTCTGCTTCTGAATTCCCTTGGCCCCAAGGAGAAGGGGATGGCGGGGGGCTCCTGCCCCATCCTTTCCGTGGATCTCTCTCTCTCTCTCTCTCTCTGGCTCTCTTAGTCGGGACTCACCCGCTCCGCCCCGCTCTGGGGATCAGATGACAGCTGAGCCTGGAATTTGACACCAGACTCAGCTAGGCGCTGAGATGGAGCCGGTCCTTTTCTCCCTCCCAGAGGCCGCCTGGACTGGAGTTCTGCCGGTCACGAGTCCGAGTCCCGCAGGCTGCACGTCCCCTTGGCGGATTTTCTTGCTGCGCGGGTTGAGCGCGGGCCGGTGTGGATGGGAAGCCCTTGGATCGGGGCCGCCCTGCCGCTTCTGTCCGGGACCTCCGTCGCTTTAACCCGAACTCTCCCCACAGGAGGGCGCTGAGCGCGCCGGGCACCTGCTGGCCATGCTGGCGACGCGAAGGTCGGATACTTAGTGGAACGATCCCGAGAAAACCCGGCCATGGCCCCCGGGGCCGGCTGAACGCAGGAGGTGCCGTGGAGCCGCCGTCGCCGGGAGGTAAGGGAACGAGCGGGCTGGCGCTGAGTCCCTAACGAGAAAGCTTGTTGCTGTGTGTGCCTGCGCGCCTGTCCGCTCTGGGCTCCGACCCAAATCGGGGAGAGGCAAAATCTCTGTCCGCCTGAAAGAGTTGAGGGTCCCCCTCCGTAGCTGTTCTAGCGAGGACATCTCGAGCGTGCTAACCTGGCCCACGGCGACTGTATCTCTCCGCTCCAGGGAGCGAATTCGATGCCCAGGAAGGGCCGGTACCCAGAAGGAGGCGCTTCACGGCCCGGATTCTCGGAGCATGGTCCCCGGAGAGCCGCGCGCAACAGAAGGCGCCCGATCTGCCGAGACGGAGCGCACGGTGAGTGGGGCGGGCTGGAAAGTGTGTGAGCGCCTTCCAAACCGGCGGAAGGGAGGGGGTGTTGGGGGAGGAGAGAGCGGGGCAAATGTGGGTGGCGGGCGAATGTATTTGTGTAAGCAGATCTACTTTGGAAGATCTTAGGGTGTAGGGAGGAGCAATGTTGTTGCCTCCCACAGATCCGTGCTTAAAAACGCATTTATTATCCAGAGAGTGGCTCAGAGACCCTGCTCACTCTCCCGGGTGCCTCGATCCCGGTCTTCTTGCTCCGATCCGGTCTGCCTCGTGGCTTCCAAAAGTCCTAGTTGTCCAGGCAGGGAAGCAGGGAATCAACGGGGGGGAATGGGGTGGGGGGGTCTGGTGGGTGGCTGGAAAGAGGGGCAGTCTGTGTGAAAAAGGTTCCCTGTCTTGTCCTTGATCCCACCTCATGGATGGCCTTTTCCTTTCCTGATGCCCAGGAAACTGCTCAAGGGTCCTCTCTATTTCTGTTGAGGCTTCCAGGCCAGATCAATCAGGCTGGAAGATTTTTAATTTGTCCTTTGTGCTCTACTAGGATCCAAAAGAAAGAGTATCTAGAAGTCTACACACTTATTGATACTGGTGCCGAGAGTGCAATTCATAAATACTGCTTCTTAAATATTTTCTTAAAAGTAAATGTGCCAGTGATTACACTGTATATTCTGCCCCTTGCCCAGTTCCTACCATCACAGGAGTGGTCTGGCCCATTTTTCATTTCCTCTCTAATACTGATTTTAGAGGCTCACCTCTGTTGATTACTTGCAGTTGAGGTGAACATAAGGTTGCAATTTTTGATGCAGTTCCTGCCTGTCTACTTGCTCACATGTCTATTGCTACTGTGGGGGGGGGGATTTATAAAAGGTTCTTGCTCCATCTTCACTTATCTCTAGATTGGTATCTCTAATTTTATGACATTGGCTTGTGTTTCTAGCCACTAGAGATATTATAGACGGTATAGGATATATTACTGATGCTTTCTAAAGGTGAGCAGTTTGTGCTGCATGGTGAATAAATTGGCAATCTACCAGATTAAAAATTCTTTGTTGCCAACATCCCTTTGTTTTGGAAAGTAAACATCAGATGAGCTTCCTTCAACAATTCCTATAGTTCGGCAACAGGCCGCCTTAATGTGAACACTTCAGTTTGTTCTGATATTTCTAGGCATCCAACAGGAGAATTTTCTTCTTCTTTTGCTCTAGTGCACCAAAATCCAAGTGGAACTTGAGGCATCTTGTTGGTAAACTGTTCTGAAGTCACTCAGAAACAGCCATTCAGACTGTTGGCAGTTGACAAGTATGTTCTTCTTTATTATCCATTGTTTGACCTGTTTGTTAAATTGCCTGTGGAAAAAAAATTGAGGTTTCAGGTGCTCGCACTATCTGATTTTTACAAAACCCATTCTAAACATTTCTCATGTATGAATGCAGTGAAATAACCAGTTAATGACACAAATTACGGAGCAGGAGCTACCTGACATTGTCTTTGCATGTGTTAGCATGCTAAGTGTCAACTCTTAGGAATGAACCTAAGGGGCTATTTAGGTCTTTCCAGTCAGGTTTGCAGCAAACTCTTAAATGAACAGGCCCAGCTATCTATGCATATCGCTTTTCTCTCATATCTGCCCTGGTTCCAACTTTTTTTTGCAGATAAGTAAAATTAAGGCCTAACAGCTTTGCCATAATACTAGATGAAGGCGTAGCTTTCCCATTCAAAGGTCTTGGGAAAGGAAAAGTGTCATTATCCCAAACATCTGAATTTATTGCTGGAAGCAGATGGTTTCTGTATCAATTTACAAGAGGTGGAAGAAGATGTCAGCAATGTATTCATTTTGGTATGGCTGGGATTGAAAATGACAAAACTTTCTTTTATCGTATCTGAATGGCAGGTAAAAGAAACCTGACTCTGGCCCTGCATGAAAGGTGAAAGAAGAACAATTAAATAGACCATATTTACTGGATGTTTCTGAAAATACGTTACTTTCCTTGCATAGTCCATGGCAGATTCCAAGAAACATCCAAACAACTTAGAAAGGGTTGGAGTGCTTGTTCTTCAGAGAGTGGCTTTATCTGTAGTTAGTCTCAAAAAAAAAATATAAAGGCATTCCAAGCTGTTAATGTGTCTTTCCAATAAACGAGAATATATGTAGCTCAGGGTTGACCTGTGCTTCATGCTCTCTGAAAGAATTTGGACTCCTCTCTGTATCCTTTTCTGAAAAGTCAGGTCTAGGAACTCTGTCAGTCCTTGGGAAATAGTGAGAAGGAACTCTTCCTGTGTGGGCAAAGAAAGTAGTGGGGGGAAAAAACTGGTTTTGTGTTGCCACCTTGTGGGAGTCTGAGAAAAATACAAACCTTCTACAAACTCAAGATAGGATCCCAAATATCTGATCTGATACTCCCAAAAGTCTCGGCCAGAATACCATTGGTGAGGGATCTTGGGAGTGATTGTTCAGGAGGCTTCCCACCCTTGCAATGTAGGAAGAGAAATATTGTCCAGCTAGGGGCACATATCTGCTTGCCCAAGATGTCTAAAATTAAACCAGAATGTGACACAAAAAGTTATCATTTTTGTTAGTTCCAGCTTCTACCCATGACTCTTTGTGAACTCTCCCTCTCTCCATTCAGTTCTCCAAAGAGTTGCTCTTTGTAAATTGCAAGACAGAAGATGGTGTAAGGGCAGGAGGACTCCACTGAAGCTCCTAGTGCTTCATTCAAAAATATGCCAATAAGTAGTGCCAATAGCGTGATACATTTTTAATAGGCAGCTGGAAAGAGTCTGATGGAAACAGTGCAAACCTAAAAAAAAGTATCCATGAGTATTGGTTGGGTAAAAATAGCTGAAAGTAAAAACTAAAAGATCAGATTACAACACAGTTGGACACAAAAGTGTGTTGAATGGTGATGAATCAGTTTCATTTCTTTGATTGGCATATTTTTGTATGTAATTATATTTATTCCATTTCTGTATGCCCATTGCAGGATAAAAAAAAAATAGACCTCTGCTCTGAAGAGCTTAAAACAATTAAATTGCTTAAAGCCATTTCTATGAGTTCAAAGTCTGCACCAGACTTGGCTTTTCAAAAGTAGGTGATCCAAGCCTACTTTGGTGGAGTATCAAGTGTTTTAGTGGGTGAAATGAATTATTTAAATATTTGCATATCTTAGGGCTCCCATGTTGCCCTTAAAACATCCACAAAATGAAAAAGGTTGCCTACTTTGGGCATTCCAAGGGAGATAAAAGGAACCATTGGAGAAGTTGGTCCCAGATTCCATTCTTTGCACCTTTAGTTTATAAACCCAAATTGGTGCAGATGAAACTTCAAAGATAGATAGAACTGTTTTTAAGGAAAGTGAGCTGTTGAGATTATCCAAGCCATAGTAGTTCCTCATGCGGAAAATTTTCATGTAAAACCTTTCTATGAGCATATTCTGTTCCAAGTCTAGGTGTAACACTTTTAAATATACAAATATTTATAGGTATTCTGTCATGAGTGTGAACCTGACAGATACCTCAGAGGTTACTATTCTCCAACACAGGAAGGATCTATGATTATTTCACGGAATATTTTTGGATGCGGCTAGGAATAACACAATACAGTGAACAAAAATGTGTGTATTCTGTTGCAAAAGTTTATGTTTAATTTGGGTATTGCTATTCTTAGCGAACGTTAGAGGATTTGCTTTTTAAAAATTTACTGGCAATTACAGATACAGTGGAATGGAAACATGGAAATACCCATATAATATTCTATTAATGTAGCAGACCAATCACAAAGAGACTTAATACAAAAAATGCAATATCTATCTATCTATCTATCTATCTATCTATCTATCTATCTATCTATCTATCTATATCTTTGCCAGGCCAGTCACAAACAAAAATGTACCTTGTTAGGAGCTTCTTCAGCACCTTTGTTTAACTGGATTGATGCATTTATTGAAAGATTTTTGTAATCTCATAGAGATATAGCAGGAAGGGGCCATAACTGGACCAGAAGCTTGCAAGAGTGAAAACTAGTCTTCATATTCAGAGAAATGGAACTGGGTTCCTGAGCTGTGTCTTTGTATTTTAGGTAGGATGGAGTGGAGAGTTGACGGGTCAAGGAACAGATTAGACAGACCTCCCTCTGCCTGCAGGAGTTTGCCTATCCAACAAGCACGATTCAGGGTGAGTTAGTCAATGCCAAGGAATGTTCTTGACATCAGGGCTTTAGTTCCAGAAACAGTGGAAAGTTAAAGAGGCTTTGTTTATGAAAGTCGTCAATTCGATTTATGAAAGATGGAAGAGTTTCTCCTTACTTTCACTCCACTTTGGTTTTCAGTAAATTGGGCCAGCTGTTTTGGTTTCTTTGGTTAGCTTAATGCTCCATTTCTGGCAGACAAAGCTCCGAATTTCATACTTGAAATGGCAATTTTTAATATATGCATATCATTTCTATATAGTCCAAAATATATACCCTGCCACATAGTGATTTGTGTGATGAATTCAGATGGATATGCTTGAAGTGAAAAAGATTTCTTTTCATTCTGATGTTCACCTGTGATCATTTGACACATATTTTGCACCACAGAAGAAATGTATTTACCGTATTTCAATTCTATATTACCCTCTTCATAAGATTCTCAGCAATATTGGAGGTTAAATAGCTCAGACAAGTAGAAATAGTTTTATTGTATATAATATTGATGTTTTAATTTGGAGAGAGGAATTGCTCGGGCATTTCCCCTGGACTGCATCCGGAGTGAGAAGATAGGAGGAAGGGGAGAAGTAAATAGGAAGGTTGAGGAGAAGGAGGAGAGGGGGAGAGTGAGGAAGAAGAGGGAAAGAGGGAAGTGAGAGAAGAGGTTAGAGGGTGGATGCGGTTTGGGGGGAAATGGGTGAGCAATACCGAAAGTTGTGTGTATAAACTTATTTTATTCTTTATCTGAAGTATTTTTTATCAATGTAATGTAAAATTGAAAATAAAAAAAAAATTACAAAAAAAAAAAAGATTCTCAACAATATAACAAATGTCCATGGTAAGAAATAAAATAGGCATGGTGCAAAAGGAATAGTTAAAATGCAAAGATAACCAACAAGGTAGGCTATAAATGGAACAACACGCAAAAAGCAAATTCAAAAGAGGGTATCATTTTAACTGTTTGGTTTTTTAAAAAAAAGGCTTGAGAAGAGCTTTGTCTTAACTTGATTCTGTAACGCCATCAGTATTAGAGCAAGTCAAACTTGAAAGGAAAATTTGCTCCATAGCATGGGGGCTATGATGGATAACTATCTTTTCATGGCCTTAGGCCATCACCCAACTTCACATAAGTAGGAGATCACAAGCAATTTCTCCTGGGATGTGCGTGTTATAGTTTTATTTTAGCTGGAGGTGGTGGTTCTAAAGGTATCTTAGTGCCAAGCCATATATAGTTTATTGGTTAAAACCAGGATTTCAAATTGTACCTGAAAACCTGTTGGGAGCCAATGCAAGGCTTGCATCATAGATATGTTATCCTTCTGGCCACTAGTGCTAAATAAGAAGCAAGCTGCAGTGTTTTGTACCCACTGATTTGCAAAGTGGTCTTTAAAGGTAACCCTTTGTAGAGTGCACTTGCAGTAGTCCAGCTGGGTAATGATCACAGCTTCCCAGTTCACATTGGGCCATAGTTGATGCACCAGTGGAGCTGGGCAAAGGCCATCATGACCACAGCCACCATATGATGTCATGTGGGAGAATCATCATATGTAAAATATCCCTGCATTTAGCAGGTCTTACTTTCTTATCTTCCACTTTATTCGTATCCTAATCAGCATGTTTACTGTTATATGTCCTCCTGTCTTATCTTAGGAGCAGGGTTTGTGGAGTATCTTAACTATACTATCACTGTTTGCTGGGACAGTCATGGCAAGTTCAGAGACAGCTTTGGGAAGCATGGGCTCTGTCAGCTCTGCCTCTATGGAGGAAAACAGCATGGAAACACCGTCTCTGGCTGTGTGGAATCACTGGCATGGTAGGGACCTGGCATTTGTCCAGGGCAAATGGCTTGGGGAGCAGGGTGCTTCATATGAATTCTTGATCCAAGCCAATTGGATTTTTCCCAGATGGTCATATGGGTTGAAGAATGTATTTTCTTCAAGATGGATGCCCTTTTTCTTGTCTTAGGAACACTCATCCCATATTATTCTTGGGAGGAAGAATTAAGACCCCTCTCCTTTTTTCTTTCAGGGGAAAACATGACCATGCAAGACCTGAGCACATCAGAACTTCTCAGGGCTGAGCGTTCCCCATCAGGCTCAAGCAGTATCAGGAGAAGCTCCAGAAGGGCTGGAGGTGGTGGTCGTAGCCGCAGTTGTCGCTTACGTAGCCACCCAATCAACGTACGGGATCTGGGGCTTGGCTATGATTCTGAGGAGGTTGTTCTATTCAGGTATTGCAGCGGGACATGCAGGCTTGCCCGCACTGACTATCACGAAGTCCTGAATCACCTTGTACGGCAAGGTATCATTGTTCCTAAGCATAATGATTACATTTCTCAACCCTGCTGCCAACCCATCCGGTATGAGAACCTCTCTTTCCTGGATGCGCACAATGTCTGGCAAAATCTGCAAGATATTTCAGCAGCTGAATGTAGTTGTCGGGGCTAAATATGCTATCTGTTCAGAACTCACGGGGTCTTTTAATTGACATATCCTTGTTCATGCTACAGAGAGGTCATAGACAGCCAATTTGGTCCAGTGGTTAAGGCACCAGGCTAGAAAGTGGGAAGCTGTGAGTTCAAGTCCCACCTTAACCATAAAAGCCAGCTGGGTGACTTTGAGCAAGTCACTTTGTCTTAGCCCAACTCACCTTACAGGGTTGTTGCTGTGGGGAAAATAAGAAGAAGGTGTGCTGGACATATTCACTGCCTTGAGTTATTTGTAAAAATAATAAAGGCGGGATACAAATAAATAAAATAAAAATAAGTCTGCCCTGCCGGTAAGTGGCAGCCGGTAAGTGGCAGCAGAAGGAGAAATAAATTTCACACTAGAGCTTTTCACTCCAGATGAGAGGAATGAATGGACAATTAACTGGAGTGAAGCACAGTGTTGTTGGCCTAAATATATCTTGGCCTTGAGAGAGCATTCACCTATGATCAGTGATGTTAATTATACAATCCTGTGAAAAAGAAAGCACACTCTCTTGAGTTCTATGGTTTTATGTATCAGGACATAGTAAAAATCATTTGGTCTTTAGCAGTTGTTAAACTGCTAAACACATGACATATTACACCTATGTCATCATTTTTGTTACAAAAAGCTAAAACAGAGAAGCCATGTGTGAAAAACTAAGTACACCTTATGATTCAATATTTTGTAGAACCACCTTTAGCAGCAATAACTGGATCATTAATACTTTTCTGAAAGACTTTATCACGTTGTGGAGGAAGTTTGGCCCGCTCTTCTTTACAACATTGCTTCAGTTCATTGAGGTTTGTGAGCATTTGTTTACACACAGCTCCCTTGAGGTCCTTCCACAGCATTCAGTTGGGTTGATGTCTGGACTTAGACTGGGCCAGTGCAAAACCTTGATTCTTTCACTTTTAGCCATTCTATTGTAGATTTGCTGGTGTGCTTGGGACCATTGTCCGGTTACATGACTCAATGTCGGCTAAGCTTTAGCTGTTGGATAGATGGCCTCACCATTGACTCTAGAATACTTTGGTATACAGAGGAATTCATAGCTGATTCAATGATTGCAAGGTGCCCAGGTCCTGTGGCTGCAAAACAGGCCCAAATCATCGTCCCACACATGACGGTTAGTTTGAGATGTGTTTAATTTTCACCAAATGTGGCACTGTGCACTATGACCAAACATTTTGGTCTCATCTGTCCAAAGGACAGTGTTCCAGAAGTTTTGTGATTTACTCAGATGCAACTTTGCAAACCTAAGCCATGCTGCCATGATATTTTTAGAGACAAGAGGCTGTATCCAGGCAACCCTTCCAGACAAACCATACTTGTTCAGTCTTCTTCTAATTGTACTGTCATAAACATTAACTTTTCACATGCTAACTGAGGCCTGTAAAGTCTGAGATATAACTCTTAGATTTTTTGCAATTTCTGTGGGCATTGCACAGTCTGACCTTGGAGTGAATTTGCTGGGACATCCACTTCTGAGAAGATTGGCAACTGTCTTGAATATTTTCCATGTGTAAATAATTTTCCTCACTGTAGAATGATGGATTTTAAATTGTTTAGAAATGGCCTTATAACTCTTCCCAGGTTGATGGGCAGCAACCATTGCTTCTCTAAGATCATTGCTGATGACTTTCCCTGTTGGCATTGTATTAACCCAAACCTCAGTGCTGGAGACCAACAACCTCCTAAAACTTTGGCTTTTATAGACCCACTTGGGGATGATCAATTGATCGAAGGCACTTGATTGGCAGTACCTGGCTGTTATTTAGCCTCTTTATAGGTATGGAAGCAGTAAAGGTGTTCTTAATTTTTCGCACATGGCTTCTCCATTTTTTAAAATAAATGATGACATGATATAATATGGTACGTATTGTTGTTCATCTACCTACTTTTAAGAACTACTAAGGGCCAGATTATTTTTATTATGTCCTGATATGTAAAACCATATAGGGTGTACTTTCTTTTTCACATGAATCTAGAAAGGGCATTTCTCCTTTAAAGATTGATCTATCGACAGCGTTGTGAATCTTCTTATCTATCAAGCCTTTTCTCCCACTGAGGAAAAAAGCATTGGAAATTCTCACACCTTATTCAAGAGATAGGGGTATGTGGCATTTAGCCTGAGATACTTGTGATACCAACTGACCTTCTTCCAGGCAGTTGAAAAAAGGCTGTTCACTAGGTCATGTCATCTTCTTCAAGGCATGTGTTCTTTCCCCAGTTTTTATTTGAGCCCACCATCTGCCTTTTCTTTAGAAACATGTTCTGACTACATCTAGGAGCAATTGTGGATAAGCATGAAGGACAATTTCGCAAGCCTATTTAGGGCCGTGAACATTCAATGATTGCTCCAACCTTGTGACTTGTGCTAGAATAATCAGTGCACTATTTGAGGATTGAATAACATTATGGTTTGTTTGGGAGAAGTTTGATGATTACATGATCAGCCTCATTGGAGAGTTTTTCCTGTGAGAGCCTATCCTTAGCAGAAAGGGTATGGACACACAAAAGGGCAAATTTGATGTGTTTCTCAGAGCTACCAGATCTGGGTTAAGGAAGATTGATGCCATCTAGTAGTTATCAGTAGTTATCAGGATTTTTTGCAAGTACAGTTAATAGAAAAGGGGCTTGGTATAAAGCCAATGATGGCAGTGGCATACTGGTGTGCAACAAGCACAGACACACTAGCAATGGCTTGGAGTTTTGACTACTGCACTTACCAGGCTGACAATGGAAGCAGCAATGGTTTTGAGTTCTGGTTCAACCATTATTTAGTACCAGCAGCGTGGGAACCCACCTGCCTCAGAAGTGACATTTTCTAAACCTATTTAGAAAGTTTAAATTTTCTAATCCTACTTATTTATTCTATAAGTTATTTATTTATTTGTACCCCACTCACTCCCTGGTGGCAACCTATTTATGAAGCTGAGAGCAGGTCTGGTATACATTAGAAACTGATGCTATGCCCTGGCCTGGGACCAGCAGTTCCTATTCCCCGTCCCCACTCACTCCTTTCCCCACTTGGCCTTAACAAGGGCATTTCCTATTCCTCCTTTCCTGATTTTGTATTCTTTGTCCTCTATTTGCATTGGGATAAACTCTATTTTTATACAACAATAACTTCCTGTAGCAATAAAGCCTGCGAAGGCAATGCAAACTTGGCTTATGTGTATGTTTATATGGGAGGGAACTAAATAACAAGAAGAAATCCTTATTATTAAATATAGTTCTACAATTTATATGAGTCTAATTTTGCTTAAGGTATCAAATAAAGCATTATAAAACATTATCGAATATTGAAAAAGTAGCTCTAGATATCTTTGCTTCTCTGAAATGTTTAAAATACACTATTTGTACATTTTAATAGTGTACTAGTTTCATGGCCCCTCATTTCTAAATCTGACTATAGCACTACCACACCCAACCGCTATTTTGGCTAGATGAAAAGTTTTGTAGTTAAACATACTTGGAAAACAAAATTTGAAAATGTAACTTTTTTCTCCTATATGAGAGAAAGATGAAAAGGCTTACTTAGGCTATCAATCTTGCCCAAAATACTGCAGGGATGAGCCCATGCTGCTGCTAGAAGTCAACACAATAATAGAAAATAATAGAAAATAGAATAGAATAGAATAATAGAATAATAAAGTCACTTTAAATATACACTAATCAGCATACATTAAAATGAGGTTTTGTTGCATACAGCTCTCAAAGGGAAACCACCTCCAATATACACTGCATAAACATGACAAATAAATAAAATTATGCATATACTCACATACATACACCCATGGCCCAGAGAAACAACAGTCTAGTTCTGATGTATACATATACATGGCGGGAAAAACGAATCTTGCGAGTTTACCAGACAGATGACATAGGGAACAAAACTGTTACAGAATCTGGTAGTCCTACTAGCAATACTTCAAAACCTCCTCCCAGAGGGGAGCAAGAGAAACAGACTGTGAAGAGGGTGTGCGGCGTCTCTAACAATGGTTCGAACTTTAAGCACATAGCGCTTATAAGCAGTGTCCTGAATAGCAGGAAGCAGACTTCCTATAATCTTCTCAGCTGTCCTTACCACTCTCTGTATGGACTTTCTATCTGAGGCACCGCTACCACAAAACCAAACAGTAATGCATTTTGTTAAGATGCTTTCAATCTGGCTCTGTAAAAAGTGGCCAGGACAGGATAAAGATGTGCAGGAAATGCAGACACTGGTTTGCATGCTTCACTAAGATTGTTAGTTATCTGCACCTCCGGATACTTAAAACAGTTGACCACCTCTACAGCTGCAGCCTTGATATAGAGTAGAGTATGGGTATGCCGGCTCTTTCTAAAATCTACAGTGATCTCCTTTGCTTTATTAACATTTAGAACCAGTTACTTTTACTGCACCAGTCCACCAGAGCCTTCACCTCTTCCCTATAAGCATGTTCATTGTTGACCCAGATAAGACCCACCGTTGCTGTGTCATCCGCATACTTCGCAATATGATTCGTAGCAGATTTGGCACAGCAGTCATGGATCATCAAGGTGAACAGTAAAAGACTCAAGATACAGCCCTGTGGGGAACCCGTACTCAAGGAGATGGAGTTGGAAACTTTACTTCCAACTCGCCCAACCTGGGGGCCTATCAGTAAGGAAATCAAGTATCCAGTTACATAAAGGAATATTAAAACTAACAGGCCCAGTCTTGAAGGACTCGAAGGAACCCATCCCCCTGCAAAAAATGGCATATAATAACAATGAATACTTTTTTTTTTTTTTTTTACAAATTTCTCTTTTCTTCCTATGCTTTTTCAGGATATTTAAAAAGCACAATTTTAATTAACGTTCTTTCAGTTTTCAGATTTAAAAGGTTTTCCTTCTTGGCCAGAGACAGAGTGGTCAGAAGATATCAATAAGGGAGTTCTTTCATTCAGGGAACCATCATCATCACATCAGTGCATTGAATTTGGCCAGGTGATTACTGGTTAAAAGTCAGTACTACTAGTCCAATATCCCTAATACTATATTAGTTATGTTAGTTTGCTACAGCCGGAAAACTATTATTGGTACTCAAAAAAATTAATAAATTCATTAGGCATACTGTACCCTATCTGGGTTGAAAAAAATCCAGACAGCTTCTAGATGACAAAAATACTTCTTTTTCTGTATTACTCTGCTGTC